CAGGAGGACCAGAGTTCAAGGCCAGCCTCCAATGTATAGCAAGCTTGAGGCTAGGCTGTGCTAAATAAGACTTTACCTGATCACCGCTCCCTCAAATCCCCAAACAAAACAAAACAAAATTCTCACAGCCATAGTTGAGAGGTCTGAAAGCTTGTGTAGGGATGAAAGACTTAACTGCTACCGCACTGGGTTGCGGACTTCAGCTCCTACCACATGGGCGACCCCATGAAGCTGTCCACTTACCAGGCCAGCTCCTCTCCTCAGACAAGGGGCCCCTAATTTGACAACAGAATTGCCAAACAATACTAAGAGAAAAGTGCAATCTGGCTCAGTAAAACAAGCGCGGCACCCTGTCTGCGAATACAGGGGGAAAGACAGGTCCGCCTGGAGCCCTTCACTGAACTCCTTACAAAAGCCACCCGGGCAATCCAGGGGGCGAGCCAAGGGATCCTGAGGGGAGGAAAGGATTCGGTGGTGCCGCAGGTCGTGCTCGGTGCTGCACTCGTGCTGACAGAGCGTGCGTGTGGATTCTGCCTACGTTCGCTCTTTTAGCTGGGTTCAAGGGTTCCAAGCGTCCTACGGCTCCGTGCCTTGGACTGTGAAGGACATTGCGATTGCAGTCCCTTGCAAAAGCAGCCCTCCAGCGGTGGGCGTGGCCGCCGCGGCACCCTGCAGCACCCACCGGCTGGCCTGAGCCCCTCCTCCAGCCAGCTGGTGCCTGCCCGAGTGGTTAACGTCGCCTGCCACACCCGACTCCAAGCTGTGGGTAACCTCTGTCACGGAAGACCCCTCTTCACGAATCACCAGCTGGCCTTGAGAACATCATCTTGCCGCAACACCGGAGGTAAAAGGACCCAAGCCGTCCGGCTCGGGACTCGAACCCGAGTTCCGGTGAGCCCCGCAGGCTGCTGCCCAGTGCCGGCCGCCAGATGGCACCCGTGCTTTTCGAAGTACTCCCTTCACGTTTGCCTTCCGGGCACACTGGGTAAAACTGGCCACCTCCGCCAGGTGTCTCAGGAGCACTAGCTCCCAACCTGTTCAGCACACTACCACTACCGTGACTCAGCTGACCTCAGGGAGTGGCTGTCTGCCAGTCCACACCTACACCACAGGCATGCCTGATGCGGAACCACTGTTACCAACAGCCGGGGCGGCATTGGTGCCCTGGAAGCCCCAGGCTGAAGTAACCGGCACACCTTTGTATGAATAGCCCTCCAGCTCTGAGCCAGGGCAGTGTGGTTGTGGTAGGAGACTAATGCCAATGACAGAGTATGTCTGGAAAGTAATAGTTCCTGAGGTGATGGGGGTGAAGACTGAGCGACATGAGTGTGCTTACAGTTACAGATGTACACTTAAGAGTGGTTAAAGTGGGGACACAGTTGGCTCGGTGGTTAAGAGCACTGGCTGCTCTTCCAGAGGACCTGGGTTCAATTCCCAGCACCCACATGGCAGTTAATACCTGACCTGTATGTAACTCCAGTCCCCCAGGGGATCCGATTCCTTCCCGGGACTGTACTTATGTGGTACACAGACATGAATGTAGGCAAAATACCCTCACACATGAAATAAAATCTTTAAAAAAATAAAGAATGGTGGTTAAAGTTGGCTGGAGAACCGGCTCAGAGGTTAAAAGCACTGCTTTTAGTAAAGGAGCAGAGTTCAGTTCCCAGCATCTGCACCAGGCAGTTCTCAACCACCTTAACCACAGCGCCCGGGAGTTCCCAGGCTTCTATCCTCCAGTGGCACATGCACATGTATACGTAAGTAAAGAGAACTTTTATTAGCTAAGGGACCAGAGAGATGGCTTGGTGGTCAACGGGACCTAGTTCTGTGCTCAACACCCACCCTACGCTCCAGCGGGTCTGACATTCTCTTCTGGCCTTCTTGGACACCTTGATGCACATAAATGAACACACATAAATAAAAATCAAAAAATTGAGACAAGGTCTCTCTACACAGGCCTGGAACTCACTATGTAGACCCAGTTGGCTTCAAACTCAGTGACCCACCTGCATTTGCCTCCCAAGTGCTGGGATTAAAGACATGTTAAAGGGCTGGAGAGATGGCTCAGAGGTTAAGAACACTGCCTGCTCTTCCAGAGGTCCTGAGTTCAATTCCCAGCAACCACATGGTGGTTCACTACCATCTGTAATGAGATCTGGCTCCCTCTTCTAGCCTGCAGGGACACATGCAGGCAGAACACTGTATACATAATAAATAAATCTTAAAAAAAAAAAAAACATGTTAAAAGTGGCTGAAGTGATAAATTTTGGGTCTAAGGATATAGTTGGTTGTTGGGCTCAACCTCCAGTACCAAAGACACCAGGTGTGGTGCACAGCTGTAAATCCAGCCCTCAGAAGGTGGAGAGAGGATCAGGTTCTCAACTACACACAGAATTGGAGGCTAGCCTTGGCTACAAGATACATCTCCCAGTTTGCTGAGATTGAGCAGCACTGGCTGGCCTCCAACTTGATACACAGCCAAGGAGAACCTTGGACTCCTGGTCCTCCTGCCTCTACCTTCCAGGGGATTACAAACATGACTACAAGCTGAGCAATTTCATACTTTAGGATTTGTTTTTACTTTTTGTTTGTTTGTTTTTTTCGAGACAGGGTTTCTCGTGTAGCTTTGCCCCTTTCCTGGATCTCGCTCTGTAGACCAGGCTGGCCCCGAATTAACAAAGATCCGCCTGCCTCTGCCTCCCAAGTGCTGGGATTAAAGGTATGCGCCATTACTGCCCAGCTTGTTTTTACTTTTATTATTTACTTATTTATGGTTTTCAAGACAGAGTCTTTCTGTGTAACAGCCCTAACTGTCCTGGAACTTGCTCTGTAGACCAGGTTGGCCTCAAACTCAGAGATCCTCCTGCCTCTGCCTCCCAAGTGCTGGGATTAAAGGGATGTGCCACCACCACCCAGCTTAAAATTTGTTTTTATTATTTATAATATTATGTATGTGTGCATGTCTGTGTGGACAGATGTGCAGGATACCCTCACAGGCCAGAAGAGTCAGATCCCCCTGCAGCTAGTCACAAGTGGCTGCAAGCCACCTGACGAGGGTGCTGGGACTAGAACCCAGGTCCTCTGGAAGAACAGTAAGTGCCCTTAAAACACTGAGCCATCTCTCTAGCCCTGTTTTGTTTTTTAATAAAAAATAATTCAGCCAGGTGGTGGAGGTGTATGCCTTTAATCCAACAGAGGCAGGAGGATCTCTGTGAGTTCAAGGCCAGCCTGGCCTATAGAGTGAGTTCCAGGACTGAGAAACCTTGTCTCAACACCCTCCCCCCAAAAAAACCCTAATAATAATAATCCAAATCCCTCCAGCAGCTTCAGAGCCAGGGACTCCTCTCCCAGCTGTGTTCTAACATGAGAACCTGCCTGCCTGTCCTCTACTTCCACACTTTCCCAGGGCTAGTTGCCATCATTTCTGGGTAGCCCCAAACACACAGCTCACTCATCTGAGCCCCCCAGATGTCCACCCAGGGCAGCAGCACGAATCCAGTGAAGCTGGATCTAGGCAGGTCAGGGCCAGTTCTGTACTAGATATGGAACCCAGGACCTTCTATGCAAGTCAGGTAAGCTCTCTACTACTAAATTGCACCTTTAGCCTCCAGGCTGAGTCCTGGTCCCCAGGACTGTGCAGCAACAGAACTCAGTTTCTGGTTCCCTCATGTGAGAAATGAAGGTGCCAGACAGGTAGGCCTACGATTGGGTTTCTGGTAGATGGATGGGATGAGTCAACACTTCACAGAGTTTGGGAGTGAGGTCTCCCACCAGCAGAGGGAGATTTCCATAGACAGCTGGTAAGTCCTGATGGACTGGCCCCATGTGACTCATGCTAGCCCTGTCCTTTGTCATATGGAGGGGTGTGGCGATGGGGCAGGTCCAGGCTCCCTTGCTTGCCTTTCTCCCCATAGAGGCTGGGATCCCTCATGATGGCTTTCTTGGGTGGACAGCGTCCAAGCGACAAGTGGGCTGTGCCTCTGCCCACCAGCTATTCTCTCCAGGCTCTTGCTCTCAAACAGTAGAAGATCTAAGAGCATTTTATTTTGATTGCCTCATTTTCTTTTTCTCTCTTTCCTTAAATATTTTTCAAATGTTGGCTTTGAAAACAGTTCCTTCAATGCTATCTATAATATAAGTGACCCGAGACATGTTTGCAACTTCCTATCCCAAGGAATAAAGTATCACATGACGGGGGTCACCTACCCCAAGAACCCAAATGCAAAGTGTAGACATTCCAAGACCTGACCTCCAACCTCTGGCACATACTCCTACATCACAGCCATCCTTAAAGTCAAAGCAACCCCCAAAGAAAGTCTGTGCAGTGATGTTTCCGGGGAGCCCGATGAACCACATTCCCCAGGAGGGAGGAAGGCTGGGGAACTCTTGTATGCCCTGCCCAGGTGGTACTAACAGTTCAACAGAGCAGAGCCACAAGGCCCAGAACTGACCACCAGCACCAGGCAGGGTATGCCACAGCCACCAAACATGGGAATGAAGGAGGATTTGTCAGTTGTTGGGGTCTTTGAAAGAAGATACCACAGGGAATGGAACTTTTGATTATCCAAGAAGGTGCTAGGCAGGTCTGGCAGGTCAGGGAACAGTGGGTGGAGTCCTAGGCTCAAATCGGAGGCCCTGCAGGCACCCATTCCTGCTAAGTAACCCTAGGCCCCAAGGCCAGCATGGGGACACTCTCCTAATGTTGCAGCAGAGCACCTGGAGCTATGGCTTCCATTTTGCCCATCCAGCTCAGGGTCTGTCTCCAGTCTCTCCCAGTGACTTCCCTCCAAACTCACTCCACTCACTTCCAACCCTAACATCTTCCTGGGGGGTCTACAGGCCTCAAAACAGATCTGGCCTACAGAGGAGGTCCCATATAGTATATCCAACCCTTCCTGCTCCCAAGCTAAATCCCATCCCAGAAGGTCCCAGGGCAACAGTGACTATCAGCAGCCCTGCTGAACATTAAATATAACTCAAAGCACAACTCAGACAAGTCAAGTCCTACTGTCTGTATTTATGCCTCCGTGGAGTGATGAGGTTGTGCGTGAGACCTGGGGCATGGCTCCCAGCTTGCTCACTGGAAACCAGCTCCCTGGACTGCCTGGGCTGTCAGTGTCCAGCTGCAGCCACGTGTCCTTTCCAGCCAAGATCCTCAGTCACGGCCCAGCTTCCTCTGCCTGCCACACCAGTTCACCCGAGATGTAAGTGGCTTGGACATGGAGGGAGTCGTCGAGCACCACAAAGTCTGCGGCAGAACCAGAAGGTGAGGGGAGACATAGTAGGGCCACCCATACCCCTACTGTGGTCATCCCTTATAACTGAGTGGGGAAACTGAGGCCCAAGAACAGGATTTGGATTCGTAGAGGAGCTGGAGCCAAGAGCATCAACTTGTCACAGCTGGGCACAAGTGATCCCTGAAACCTCACCTGGCCTGATCTTAGATGCCAGAAGCCAATGTGTAATAGCACATGCCGATAATCCGAGAACTCAGGAGGCTGAGGTAGGAGGATTACCATGAATTTGAAGCTAGTCTGGTCTACACAGTGGGTTGCAGGCCAGCCAGGGCTACATAATAAGACCCTGTCTCAAAAGAAAACAAACCCGAGCCAGCTGGGAGATGGCTGAGTGGGTAAAGGGACTTGCCTCCAAGGCTGACTTGTGTTTGAACCCTGGCACTCACGTGGTAGGAGAGAACCAACTATAGCAAGCTGTCCTCTGACCTTACAAGTGAGTGCTGATACACACAAAAATAAAGGTAAAAGTCTATGGTGGGAACCGCCCCTGAGAAGCAGGGGCAAAGACCCACCCCCTTGAGCCCTATATGGGGCCTCACCTGCATCAGCACCAAAGTCCAGGTTCCCCTTGGTCTTCTCCAGCCCTAGCAGCTGGGCAGGGTGGAGGGATGCAGCTTCCAGAGCCGACTCCACACTACAGCCTGCTCAGGAACACACTGTGGTGAGCAGCCACAGCCCTTCCTATAAGCAACTCCAGGAATGGCCTTGGACTCTGCAGCAGCTTAAGAAGGACCCTCACTCCCCTAGCCTTAGGAGACACTGCCCACCACTCTCTTCCCAGCCCACTCATCATCCCAGCTCTACAGGGAACCTATTTTCTCAACAGACTAGACATGGGGTGTTAGAGTGTGTTCATTGTTGTGTGGTCCTAGACTCTCCTGCCTATTTCTAGCAAAAAAGTCATACCTGAGTCACCATATCACCAATCCAGATGCCAAATGGGACCCTGTACTCTGAGCAGGGCCTAACCTGAGGCCCAGTGACCATATTCACTTTACTGTATCACTTCTTGCCAGGATCCAGTTATCTCCTTTGTCCCAGGCCATCTCCAGCCTATTTGCTCTAACATTTCCCACATTTAGAATGACACTCAACCTTGACATGCTGACAGATTTTTGGGGGCAGAACCTGCTCCAGGCCCCAGAATACCACTTTCACTCCCCCGCATGGATACTGCCCCTGCAGCTTTTCCACTATCCCACGGGCCTAGGCCTTGGTCCTTCTATGATCAATGTGACCCTGCTCCTCCATGAGGTCACAGCTTCACACTGTTCATCATCCTGGTCCTAGTGAGTGGCTGTTCACCATTCTTCCATAGCCTGAGCTCTATTTGGGAGTGACTATGGTCATTTCCATCCACCAGAAATCAGCTCCTAGCTTATAGGTAGTTAGAGGATGTCAGCACAGAACCCCAATTTCTCTACCTCCCTTCTAGTTTTCCCCAGATAGAGCCTCTGCCCTCAGACACCTAGGAACACCAGCCTACTGACCTGTGGCCTGTAGGAAATGCCGGATGCAGACATCCATGGGGGCTATACTGCCACATAGTGTCTTGGTGCCTTGAGAGCAGAAAGGCCAGGATTGGAGGAGGGAGTCTCTGTGGGCCTGGTAGCCCAGTGGACAAACAGGGCATACCCAAGTTCTGCCCCACTCCAGGGAAGAGCCAAGAGACTCTACGTATTTGAGTACAGGAGTCACTCACCTGCAATGTGGGCTATTAGCCCATCTACCTCCACCTCCTGCTGTCCCAGTGTATGGCGGCCATTGCCCAAGCCCAGGGCAGGGACAGCGTCAGTGACCAGCACCAGCCCTGGGGGAGGAGGTGGCTCAGGACCTGGCCAGCTGTTATCCTACTTGCCCTACCCTGCCCAGCTACTCACCCTGGGGATGAGCCCGGTGAGCAATGCGCAGAGCTGCAGGGTTAGTGTGTATGCCATCAGCAATCATCCCATAGAAGATGCAGTGGCCTGGGGGCAGCTGGTCACTGGTGAGAAGCCCCACTATGCCTGGGTCACGGTGGTGGAACTAAGTAGGGCAGGAGGGAATAACTGAGTGATGGTAGTGGCCACTGAGTCCCCTTCCGTCCACAAGTCGGGGTGACACTCACAGGCAACATGGCATTGAAGAGGTGGGTGATGAAGGTGGCCCCATTCTGCACTGCTACTTCTGCAGCCCCCAGGTCAGCCACTGAATGCCCTGCATGGGGGACCTAAGATCAGCTTCTGCAGCAGCTGAGAACCTTGAGCAGGCAACCCTGACAAGTGGCCTCTCACCTAAAGACACACAGATGCCTTGGGCTGTCAATGCCTGGATCACTTCAAGGCTCCGGTCTAATTCAGGGGCAAGTGTCACAATGCGGACGTTGTCCAGGGATCCATATGTGGCCAGCACATCATGAAAAGCATTGGCTTCAAAGGAGCGGAGGTAGGCCTCAGGGTGTGCACCCCGCTTCTCCCGGCTGATGAATGGGCCCTCCAAATGCACCCCTGAGGGAAGGGACAAGGGTGGTTCTAGCAGGCATTCCCACCTAGCAGTCCTACCCCAGTCCCTCTCAACCTGCCCTCCCTTCCCAACTGGACATTTTGAAGGATGTTAACCACTCACCGAGGACCCCTGCCCCATGGGGACCTCCACTCTTCACAGGAATCTGAGGAAGGACCTAGGGGGAACCATCTGTTAAAGCTCTGCCCCCCACAACTCAGCACCCAGAAGCCACAGCTAAACCAAGGTCAGATCTTCAGGTCAGGGTTTAAGCCCCTGGCTGCGGCAGCCCAGCCCAGCCCAGCCTTACTGTCCTTCCCCACTGGGGCTGGGAGAAGGATAAAGGCCCCCCCTCCCCAGTGGTCAGGAACAGGAAGAAATGGCAACAGGGAATACTTGATAACCTACCCTGAGGACCAGGAGGTGAAAGCATCCCCAGGCCACAGAAGCACCAAGGGCTGCTCCAACCTGCTCTGGTCTTCAAAGTGCCTTCTGCCAAGCAGCCAAGATACAGTGGTCAAAGCCCTGAAAAAATGACTGCAGCCTCCCTAAGCTGTAGGGCACGGAAGCCGGGATGGGGCGGCAGGAGGAAGGCAGGGCAGAAGCAGAGGGCTGGAGGTTGGGGAACTCAGTGCAGGTGGGGACAGCATCAGCACCACAGCCCAGCCCATTCTGATCAGGAAGTTCACAGTCTCAGGAAAAAGTGACCAGCAGCACTCACTTGGTCTTGGAGACGACCAAGTATAGCCATAACCCTTCCTCCAGACCCTTCAGCTATGGAAGTCCCCAGACAAAACAGTGATACCCTCCCTTAGAATTACTCATTCCCAAGAGAAATAAAGGACATTTAAGACCCTTAAGCTGGGTACGGTAGTGCACGTCTACAATCCCAAGCACTTGGCAGGTAGAGGCAGGACAGCAGGACAGCGTCAGCTATGTATAAGTTCATGGCCAGGCTAGGATACATGATACCCTGTCTCAAATTAACCAAAACCAACCCCACACTTAAATCTGAGACAAAGAATGAGAGAAGGGCAGTCAGTCAGACTCTGAGGAACAAACAGGTGGACTCTGGACACATCAGGAAATCAGAACTCACAGAACCTGGTACCATGAAAAACGGGCTGGGGGCAGGACTGGAAAGGGGGCCTCAGTAGAGGCAAGTGAGGTGGAATATAAATATTGAGGTTTATGTCCTAAAAGGGTCTCATAATAGCTCCCTCTGAACAAAACAAGACTCTTCCCAGGGAATCTCACAAGTCCCAGAGACAGGACCTTGGCAGCAAAAACAAAGCTCCCCTCAAAGGGTAGGTGTTCCTTGTGGCCGGGTAGTGCTAGCCACTAAACAGCCCACACTGAGTTCCCCAAGGCGCAGAGGAAGGAACACCAGGATGAGCAAGCCAGCAGAGAGAAGATGCCAAGACAGGACACAGGAAAAAGCCAACCCTGACACCCTCAGGCAATGAGGTCTCAGAGCCATGAATAGGCAGAACAGGATGTCAGAGAGCAACATTCGCTCATCCTAACTCAAAGGTGTGCAAGAATCCCACGGGATGAACTCAAGATAGAAGCTGAGGAAATGTCTAGAAAGTAGTGCCAAGAAGAAAGAAGGTGAGAAGAAATGAGGACAAACCTAGAAAGTCCAACGGGAGACTCGGTCTCCCACCAAAGGACAGTGAAATGGGAAAACAGTCACCAAGGAAACAATTCAACAGAAGCTGAGAAAGCCTCAAGCTGGGGGGCCAGAGAGATGGCTCAGCTGTTAGGAGCACTGGCTGCTCTTCCAGAGGTCCTGAGTTCAATTCTCAGTACCTACATGGTGGCCCACAACCATCTAAATGAGATCTGGTGCCCTCTTCAGGCAGAACACTGTGTACATAATAAATAAATAAATCTTAAAAAAAAAAAAAAAAAAGCCTCAAGCAAAACTTCCCATTATGTCCAGCAGGCAGCAAAATGTGATAGACACCTCAACCCCATGGCATGACACCATCTTATAAGCTTCTAAAGAGAGAGAGTAGTCCTCACAAAGGATCAAGGAACAAACAGATGTCTTCCTACTTCTTAGCTACAATATGAGAAGTCTAAAGACAGTAGACACAGGCCAGGCATGTCACACTCCTTCAGTCCCAGCACTTCAGTCCCAGGCAGCTCTCTGTGAGTTCAAGGTTAGCTTAGTCTATGTGGAGTTCCAAGACCGACAGGACCACAGAGAGACCTTGTCTTAAAACAAACAAGACAGTAGACACAGCACTCTTTTAACGCTCTAGAGAAGCTGGTGCAATGCTGTCTATTTGTTGTCCCCATACTCGGGAGATCAATTGAGTCCAAGAGTTTGAGACCTGTATACAACAAAGCAAGACCCCCCCCCCAATCAAAACAAAAAGGGTTGGGCTGGAGAGATGGCACAGCGGTTAAGAGCACCGACTGCTCTTCCAAGGGTCCTGAGTTCAAGTCCCAGCAACCACATGCTGACTCACTACCATCTGTAATGAGATCTGGTGCCCTCTTCTGGCCTGCAGGCATACATGCAGGCAGAACACTGTATACATAATAAATAAATTTAATCTTAAAACAACAATAACAACAACAAAAAGGGTAAAGTGCAGCCGGGCACATCCCAATAGTTTTGGGCTTGGAGATGTAGGGCACTGACAGAGCACCTGCTTAGCGTGTCCAGGGTTCTGGGTTCAATCCTCAGTACCACAGACATGTTTATTTTATGAGTGCCTGTATATATATGCTTGCAAGCTACATGCATGCCCTCCTGGTGCCTGTAGAGGCCAAAGGGAGCAACAAATCCCCTGGAACTGGAATTATAGAGTAGTTATGAGCCATGTTATGTGGGTGTTCGGAACCAAACCTAAATCCTCCGCAAGAGCAAGTAAGTGTACTTCGATATTTGCCAGCCCCAAACACAAATTTTCTTCCTAAACCTCTAACCAAAACCATGGATCAGGGGGATACAGGTACAGCCAGGAGTGGTGGTGCACGCCTTTAACCCCTGCACTAGGAGACGGAAGCAGGCTGATCTCTGGGTTCCAGGCCAGCTTGGTCTACATAGTGAGTTCCAGGACAGCCAGGACGACCCAGAGAGACTGTCTCAGAAACAGACAAACGAGAACAAGGGTAGGGATGGGACACGGCTCAGCGCTTACGAGCGTGAACCACTCTGCAGGAGAGGACTAGGTTCAGTTCTCAGGGCCCACATGGGGGGGGGGGGGTGTCACAACTATCTCTAACTCCAGCCCCAGGGGAATCTGATCCCTCTAGTCTCTGAGGGCACCTGTACTCACATACTCACATGCAGACATACATATCTGCACATAATTGAAAATGATAAATCTTCAAAGAAGCAGCAGCAGCTGCTGCCACCACCTGCAGGTGACTTAGCAGCTTAAAAAATAAGGAAACAGCTAGGCATGATGTGGGTTTGAGCCTCAACTACAAAGTGAATTCATTCTAGAATACATTAAGTCCTTGGCTCAAAAAAAAAAAAAAAAAAAAAAAAAGGCAAGGCAAGGTGAAATGGCAAACGGCTCAGAGGGTGAAGGCGCTTGCTGCTGAGCCGCCTGATGACCCGAGTTCGGCTGCCAGGGTCCACACGACGGAAGGAGCGCATCGACTGCCGTAAGCTGTTGCCTTCTGCTTGCATACCGTGGAGCGCGTGAATGCGGGCACACGTACACAGACACCCACTATCTTCTAGAAAAGCACTTGGAAAGACAAAGAGAGCACCTCAGAGAGGACAGGGTAAACAGAGGCAGAGGCTGGAGCGGAAGGGAATGAGAGGAATGCAGGGGTGGGCAGGGTGGCAGACATCCCTGCCCGAGGTGCCTGACTTTCATCAGCTAAAACAATGGCCTCAGATCTGCCTTTTTTGTTTGTTTGGTTTTGGTTTTTCGAGACAGGGTTTCTCTGTGTAGCTTTGCGCCTTTCCTGGAACTCACTCTGTAGCCCAGGCTGGCCTCGAACTCACAGAGATCCGCCTGCCTCTGCCTCCCAAGTGCTGAGATTAAAGGCGTGCGCCAATACTGCCCGGCTCTCTCTCTCTTTTTTTAAGATTTATATATTTATTATGTATACAGTATTCTGTCTGCATGTATGCATGCAGGCCAGAAGAGGGCGCCAGATCTCATTATAGATGGTTGTGAGCCACGTGATTGCTGGAATTGAACTCAGGACCTCTGGAAGAACAGCTAGTGATCTTAACCATTGAGCCATCTCTCCAGCTCCATATCTGCCTTCTTGAAGCACAGCTAAAAGAGTAAACCTCAGGAAAAGAGGGGGTACTTTCAATGAACCAGACCTTGATGGAGACACCCAAGTAGTACCTAGACAAGTGGACAAGCCCCTTGGTGAGAAGGGGGCCTGGAGGAAGTTAGGGAACATGGGGGGTGGGGGTGGGGGGTGGTTGAGGGTAGTCTCCTGGTTTCTAAAACAATGGGGCATATGTTTTTATACTCAAAGCTGCCCACTCTCTGCCATCACTTCCTACCTGCCTCCCAAGGCCTTCATGCTAAAAGTGTTTTCCGAGGTCTACAGTGGGGTGCCAGAAAGAAAACTTTAGGAATGTTAGCCACTACTCCTACTGAGGGAGAGCCACTGCCTTGCACCACGTGGTGTGAAGGAGCATGGGGGCGGGGCTAACAGGAGAACAGGCCTTCCTGGAAGAGCGGGGGGAGGAGAGGGGATGCCTGAGGCTGCTGGCATGTGCCTGGGGGAGAGAGAAGCAGCTTGACTGGCAGGAAGGGAATGTGGTGGTGAAGGGGGACCATCCTGGTACCTATCACCTTGAAAGGTTACTCTGGCAAGACCCAGAGTCTGTGAGGTCAGCAGACAGAACCAAGTGCCTATCTGCAGTAAGACAACAGGTTGCACTTTTGACAGCAGGGTGGGAGAGCTGTGGGAAACTTCCAGAAAGACCTCTCTAGTTAACATTCAAGGAATGCTCAGCTTAGTATGTGTCAAGCACCCACTGACTGTTCTCACTCTAGGTTTAATGAAATTGAGGCTCAGAAGTGAGTAAGGTTGTCCCAAGTCTTCCAAGGGTTGCAAGAGGCCAGAGTAAAGCCTATGGAAGGAAAAACACAGTCCACAGCCAGTAAATCATGGCTTCCTACTCTGATTCTGTGTCTACGTACCCTGAAGGGGAACCACAGGCAGTCACACACCTCCTGACTCCATAATGGACCCTGTACTGAAAGAAAAGCTGGCTGAGACAACTGAGAGCAGGAACAGAAAGAGCCCATTCAAGTATGGTTAACAGCATTAATTTACTAAACTCATCAGCTGCGCTACACTGCAGACGAGAACGCCACACTTCAGCAGGAGTTCAGGACTGAGGGATAAATGGGCAGAATGCACACCAACTGCTCTTGAACGGCGCTGAGACAACACGCTAAACAAGCTAAGTTAAGACTGGGAAACGTGGGAAAGCCTTCACAGGAACACTGGACCAAAGACAACAGCCCTCTGGATAGAAGGCAGAAGGCTGGGGGAGCAGGGCAGTAGGCAGGACATAGGAAGAGCAGCTTCTTTATGTGAGTCACATAATACAGGCAGGTTAGGGAGGAAGAGCCTGACTAGAGACAATGGCTGTGGCAGAATTCCAGGCAACCTTAATTCAGGAGGTCCAGAGGCTGCCTCCAGGGCGTTGGGAGGGTGTGGCAGACAGGATGGTGAGAGACCAGCTGCAGAGACCAGGCAGGGCACGACAGAACCAGAGAGAGAGAGAGAGAGAGAGAGAGAGAGAGAGAGAGAGAGAGAGAGAGAGAGAGAGAGACAGAGAGAGAGAGACAGAGAGAGAGAGAGAGACAGAGAGAGAGAGACAGAGAGAGAGAGACAGAGAGAGACAGAGAGAGACAAAGACAGAGAGACAGACACGGAGGGAGGGAGGGAGGAAGGTCCCCTCACAACCAAGTGGAGGGGAGGCCAGAGGCTAGGCCTGATTCAGAAATAAATGCTACCGCCCCTGGAGGGAGGGGTCCCTTTGCTCGGGGGCAGAGCAGCCTCATCTCACCTTGTGATAAACCTCTGGTGGGGAAGTGACCAGGGTGGGACAGAAGGAGGTGACACCGTGGGACAGGATCCTCTGGGCCACTAGGGCGATCCCAGAACCCACGTCCTCCGTGGCCCTGGAGAAGTCAACACCAAATCCACCTGTGGCCACAGAAAACAAGGGGTAGCACAATGCTCAGAGCTCCTCCCCTAGGTTCCCTGGCCCAAGCCAGGCCGCACCGTTCATCTGCACATCGATAAAGCCGGGAGCCAGGATGTGGCCTCCGCAGTCCCGCTGCTCATCAGCCATGCGCCTCTCCTCAAAAAACAGCTTCTCTGGGTCCAGGATGCGGCCCCCGCGCACCCACAGATCCTCCCTGAGGGCAGAGCAGTCGGCACTCGGGTCACCACCAGGCCCTGGAACCGACCCCTAGCTCCATCTCGCTCCCTGCACCCTCTTCTACTTGGTCCCCAGCCACACTCCCAGGTTAGTCCTGCCCTCCACATTCCTGGTTCCCACACCCGACCCAGCCCTATCGCTCTCAGGCCCTACACTCCGCCCCATCCCTGAACCCCACGCTGCGGTTTCACCAGTCTACACCGGGCCAAACCCCGCAGCCCAGACCTGAGCAGCGTGCCGCCGCGCAGGATGCGGCAGTTGGTGAACTGGCGCACCGGGGCCACCGCTGCAAATTGGCCGCAACGCATTCTGAGTCGTGCCGAACCCAGCAGGCTTTGGGCGAAAGCCCGCAGGTCCCGGTGCACTGGAAATCGGAAGCAGGGACAGGCCGCACCACGTGACTCTCAACAGACAGGCTATCACGTGGGATCCGCACCCACGTGACCACAGACCACATGATACAGCAACCCGCCCACTCAGCCCACAGAGGCGCCAGAACACAAGCCAGTCACATCCAAGAAGTTTTATTGGACACAGCTGGGAGCCAGCCTTGACGAGCAGTAACACTCTACCCTCCATCCTGGCTGTCCAGGGCTGGGGGAGGGTGGCTCCATCCAAGGAGTCTCAGCAACAGGAACCCCACAAGGCAACACTTTACTAATGATTACTATATAGTTGGGAGACAGGGCTGCTCCACAGACGCATGAATAGGTCAAATCTTTTATAAATAAACATCCAGTGAAGAGAAAAATGACAACTCTAATTTATCCTTATACACAGAGCACTCTAGGGCGATGGGGGGTAGCCAGAGGCTGACGTCCTCACTGGTCAGGGGCCTGGATGGGAGATGAGTGGGCCCAGATGTCCACAGCACGGGGCGGCAGGGGCCAGGCGGGGGCAACAGACAATGGGCACTAGGACACTGCGCATTTACAAGACCAACTACTGAGGGGGCAGCTGCCCGTGCGTGTGTCAGGCTGTTCGTTCTGGAATGAGGAGGGGTGGTCTTTACATCCTATCCTGTGACTGGTGGTGGAAAAGGGCTACTTGGTGGAAAGGATCAGGGCCACGATGAGACCGTAGAGGCCGAGCACCTCTGCAAAGATGAGGATCAGGATCATGCCCACGAACAGTCGTGGCTGCTGGGCAGTGCCCCGAACACCGGCATCCCCCACGATGCCAATGGCAAAGCCAGCAGCCAGGCCACTCAGCCCCACACTCAGGCCAGCACCCAGCTGAAGAAAACTCCTGGGAAGAGAAGAGATACAGGTTGTCAGCAATCTGCCTGTCCACAGGGAAATGATGCCCTTCGCCTGACAGTACAGGCCCTGCACTCACCTGTAGAGGGTGATGCCATCAGTCAGGGAGTTGGCAATAAGTACTGCCACCACCAGGCCATAGATGGCGATGATCCCCGCCATAACCACTGGGATGATGGACTTCATGATCAGCTCTGGCCTCATGACCGACATAGCTGCGATGCCGGTACCACTCTTGGCTGTGCCATAGGCGGCTCCCATGGCTGTGGAGGAGAGATGAAGTGAGCCCAGAGCAGACGGAAACACGTTGGGAAGGCTCTCCAAGTTACCACCCACTGGGGGAACTGAAGACAGGCATCCAGGCAGGAGCCCCCTTGGGAGAATCCCTTCCACTACAGCCACTTCCCTGTCCACTAGCAGAGCCAGAGCCCCAGCCTCTGAGTCCACTTCTGCCTGCAAGAGTTCTTGTGGTCACCAGGGCTCCTGGTTTGCTGTGAAACCAGCCTTTGTTCCCTAGCATTCCCCTTCTCTAGCTTGTGACCTCTGGCAACACAGTCACAAGGAAAAGAGGCAGATGGGCCAAGGAAAGCCTTGCCTGAGACTCTGAGCATCTGTCTCACCCTAAGCTGCAGGCACTTCAAGCACAGGAGGACGACCGCTCAGCTGCCTTAGCGGCCAATCTAGGGACAGTCAGTCCCTGCCTGCAGTGAGGCCTTCAAGCCTTCCACTACAGGACAACAGGGTGACCTGTCTCCTCAGAAGGTGTCCCCCCACTCCAACTGCCCCAGGAGATGCTGCCTTCCTTTCAGGACTCTTTCCCTCTCCTGTCTCCAGGCCTTGTTCTCCAGACCCTGTAAGAAATATTCAACTACTTATACAGGTGACACGGGCAGTCTCCACACTGTGTCTGTCCAGGGCGCCCATGCCATAGCCATTCTGGGAGCAGTCTATAACCCCATGCACAGAAACACAGGCCAGAGGTAAAAAGGACATAAACAGCCCCAGTCACTCTACATAATTTGTTGATCGCGATGGACCACAAATATTCCTACTGTGTGCCCGGTGCTGAGTAGGGCAAAGGAACAGCAAGAAGACAGTGAGTCAACACATTAACACATCCAGGAAGGGAAGAAAATGGAGTAGGGGAGCTCCACCAAGGGGAGAAGGGTCTGAGAGGATCACAGAGTGAGGAGAGAAGGTTAAGCGGCACAGCAAAGGAAAACCGGGCAGAGGGCAAGACTCTTGACAGCACATTCAGGCACCAAGCAAGACAGTGCTAGATGAGATCACCTGGAAGAGGCAGGGACTAGGACAGACAGCCTGTCCCTTCTACAGCACCTTTAGATGCCCAGACACTGCCCGACAAAGACTTGCATCACCTTAGGTTTCAAGTCCTGGGTCCATTTCAGAAGATACTTCCTGGAACCGTTCTGGTCACAATACATTTCTTAGGCTCCTAGTGCAAGCCAAGTTCACACTCAGCTTCATCACAGTGCAAAAGGTGAGTGCCCCAAGGGCTCCCACTCCTGAGAACACGGTACTAAACATTGAGAATACAGGTTGCCATGGGGTGAAGGTGTGGACCGAACACAATGAATTCTGCACCCCAAAAGGTAGGACTCTGAAAAAGGCAAGGAGCTGAGTTAGTCCTTCCCCAGAGTACGTAGGTACATCATGGGGCCGAAGAATGGGTGGCAGGAAGAGAGGTGATGAGAAACGGGGACGCCATCAGAGGCCAAGGCAATAGGAGATAAAATCAGCCTAGGCCCCAACAGTAGCAGGTGTCCAGAAGGCTAAGCCTGATAGACTGCAGAAGGGAGAGCTTCTGACAAGACCAATGCAACGGAGCAGAGAGAACAGGGTCTGGAGGCATTTGCAGGAAACCGAGCAAATACAGGGGCCGGGGGGAGGAGAGTCATAGAAAAGAAGCAACTGGCAGTTTCATGGAGAACATGATGAAGAAAGAACCAACAGGATATTTGTCATGAGAAAAAAAGGGAAGCTAAAATGTGAGCAGGGAATGGAGGCCTCAAAAATGTGTGCAGACTTCATTTAGTTAAAGAACAATGGTCTTTAAACTTGGCTAGTTAAGTCTGAGAGGCCATGGGGCCAGTCACTGAGACTAAGCTTCGAGTGAGTCCCCCAGCAGCAACACCAGAGGCCAGAGAGATTTCTTTAGGTAGTGGCAGGACAGAGACATGCTATAAAATAGCAAGCTTGGAAGGAAAAAAATGAAGGTGATTCAGCTGGCCAAGTAAGAGGCTAACCTCCACAGGACTGAGAGGCTTGTTTGAAGGAATGGTACTGATAGCATGTAGGTTTCAGTGTCCAGAAGCTAGGGTCAGGAAGGAAAGCCTAGACCAGCAATACCCAGTTTTCAATAGTGCAGAGACACCTGTTGGCCAGATTTGGCACATGCAAATGATAGAACAGGTTCAAGAAGCTGGGTGCAGAAAAGAACTCTGGACAAATTTGGAGTTGCAGGAGCCATCATGAGAGCTAGACATCATGAGCTCCACAGGTCAGGGATATTGTTTCGTTCACTGATGTTCCCCCAGTATCCGGGACACAGTAAGAACTCAAGAAAGGATTTGCTGAATTAATGTATGAATGAGTGACAACCACAAAAAGCAATCACAGGTGGCCAAATTGGGGGAACCTATGGACATATTCTGGGGGCAAAGGGCAGAAGGAAATGCTTGGCAACCTTCTCTAAGGAGCCCTCAAGTGTGGGGAAAACAGGCATGGGTATGGAGGAGGAAAGGAGAAGTCCAGACCACATCTCCCACCACAAATGATCCCTTAAGCCAGTGACGTGGGAAGAGCAAGGCCCTCTCAGCAGCACCTGACAGGCCCAGGCAGGGGAGGTCACCAAGACAGACAATCTCCCACCCCAATCTGCACCCTACAGGTGTTTACAGTCAACAGACACTGTTTGGAGTTCAAACTCTCCATTTACCTGCACAGAGGGCCAGCCTCTCCATCTGCCAGATAGGGTGGGGCAGGGCGAGGTCATTTAAGCCAAAGACCAGACCTTCCAGAGGAGGTCCAGACCAGGCCAGACCAGTCCCTGGGGGCTGTGACTTACCTCCCTCAATCCCACATTCTTGGGTCTGGCCCAAAGGCTTTTCTCCCAGGAAGACCAATTTTCACTACATTTGACACCGTAGAACTGTCAAGGCCCAACTTCAAAAGCAAGGTGCCATCAAGAACCTTGTCAGGCTCTTCCTTCTCTGAGCAAGGCAGCATCTACCAGTTCCAGCCCCTCACCCCCCTAGAAGAGGAAGGTCATTCATTCACTCATCCATTCATTAGGGCCAGGACTGAAGATCAAAGACCTAATCACATAAATGCTGAACTCTAATGCCACCATTTCACCTACCTCAAAACACACTCTCAGCAAGCATCCACTCAAGCAAGCATCCACTCAGGTGCTCCTTCCTAGACGAACCCCACTTCCACAGACTCTTAATCTGAGTCCTTGCAGGTTCCCAGGACCAACCCCTCAGCCCAGTTTTCCCAACCAACCCACACCGATGACAGAACTATTGGGAAACCAAGACAAGTCTCAACCGGAAACACCTGCCTCACCCAGGGGTACAGACCCACCTGACCCCCAGCTGCTCGGCCGCCATAAAAGCAGGGTTTTTGGACCTTAGCGGGGACATAGGCTCCTTCTGGTCAAGAGGCCAAGGGACTCCCGTACGGGGCCCGCCGCAGCCTACGAACTGGCGCCTTTCAAGATGTGATGTCACACCTGCCCGCAGAATGCGGGATGCGGAGCAGGCGCAGGAGCCAGCCCAGGATCGTGCGCCGCCCCCCGCGCCCCCACCCCACCCTCCTGCCTACTTCCCGGGGCTCTAAAATGGCAGCCACACCACCGCCCCACCCCCCGCACAAACGAGGCTTGGCTGGCAGGCTGGTAGAAACCCGCACCCCGATCACGCCCGCAAGCCCTGTGCTCCGCACATTCCACTGTCCCCAGCCGCCATGGGGCCTGACCCCCACCCGCAAGGCCCGACACCCACAGGGCCGGGGATGACGTCACGGTGACGTCACGCCCAGCCCCCAGTGAGCAGCGGGCTCGAGTCCCGCACCGCTTCGGCACCCCCCTGCTCCTCCTGCTGCGATGCTCACCGCTAAAGACCATG